TCCTAACTTCCCAAAATACGATTCTCTGCTTATATTCACACCCCCATTGCCCTCAGACATGACATCTCCACTGCCCCCAGCCTTCTCCTCGCTGCAAATTCATCACCCACGTTAACCCATATAAAAGCGTTTGGGAAAAATACTCTCATACATTCCCCTCTTTGCCTTAAGGACAAAGTTCTTTGTTTTCCACAGCTCCTAAGTGCACCACTCATCTTTTTCCCTCATCAATTCTATGATTCACCTCATCTTTCATAGACCCATCCGCTGACACGTCCACTCCCAAATATCTGAATACGTTAAACCTCCCCCCTACTCTCTCCCCCCCAATCTGATATTCAATCTTTCATCACCTAATCTTTTTGTTATCCTCATAACCTTACTCTTTCCTGTATTCACCTTTAATTTTCTTCTTTTCCCACACCCTACCAAATTCATCCACCAATCTCTGCAGCTTCTCTTCAGACTCTCCCAAAAGCCACAGTGTCATCAGCAAAGAGCAGCTGTGACAACTCCCACTTTGTGTGTGATTCTTTATCTTTTAACTCCACGCCTCTTGCCAAGACCCTCGCATTTACTTCTCTTACAACCCCATCTATAAATATATTAAACAACCACGGTGACATCACACATCCTTGTTAAGGCCTACTTTTACTGGGAAATAATTTCCCTCTTTCCTACATACTCTAACTTTTAGCCTCACTATCCTCGTAAAAACTCTTCACTGCTTTTAGTAACCTACCTCCTACACCATACACTTGCAACATCTGCCACATTGCCCCCTATCCCCCCTTCATACGCCTTTTCCAAATCCATAAATGCCACAAAGACCTCTTTACCCTTATCTAAATACTGTTCACTTATATGTTTCACTGTAAAACACCTGGTCCAACACACCCCCTCCCTTTTCCCTAAAGCCTCCTTGTTCATCTGCTATCCTATTCCGTCTTACTCTTAATTCTTTCAATTATAACTCTACCATACACTTTACCAGGTACACTCAACAGACTTATCCCCCTATAATTTTTGCACTCTCTTTTATCCCCTTTGCCTTTATACAAAGGAACTATGCATGCTCTCTGCCAATCACTAGGTACCTTACCCTCTTCCATACATTTATTAAATAATTGCACCAACCACTCCAAAACAAAATCCCACCTGTTTTTAAAACATTTCTATCTTTATCCCATCAATCCCGGCTGCCTTACCCCTTTCATTTTACCTACTGCCTCACGAACTTCCCCCACACTCACAACTGGCTCTTCCTCACTCCTACAAGATGTTATTCCTCCTTGCCCTATACACGAAATCACAGCTTCCCTATCTTCATCAACATTTAACAATTCCTCAAAATATTCCCTCCATCTTCCAATACCTCTAACTCTCCATTTAATAACTCTCCTCTCCTATTTTTAACTGACAAATCCATTTGTTCTCTAGGCTTTCTTAACTTGTTAATCTCACTCCAAAACTTTTTCTTATTTTTCAACAAAATTTGTTGATAACATCTCACCCACTCTCTTATTTGCTCTCTTTTTACATTGCTTCACCACTCTCTTAACCTCTCTCTTTTTCTCCATATACTCTTCCCTCCTTGCATCACTTCTACTTTGTAAAAACTTCTCATATGCTAACTTTTTCTCCCTTACTACTCTCTTTACATCATCATTCCACCAATTGCTCCTCTTCCCTCCTGCACCCACTTTCCTGTAACCACAAACTTCTGCTGAACACTCTAACACTACATTTTTAAACCTACCCCATACCTCTTCGACCCCATTGCCTATGCTCTCATTAGCCCATCTATCCTCCAATAGCTGTTTATATCTTACCCTAACTGCCTCCTCTTTTAGTTTATAAACCTTCACCTCTCTCTTCCCTGATGCTTCTATTTTTCCTTGTATCCCATCTACCTTTTACTCTCAGTGTAGCTACAACTAGAAAGTGATCTGATATATCTGTGGCCCCTCTATAAACATGTACATCCTGAAGTCTACTCAACAGTCTTTTATCTACCAATACATAATCCAACAAACTACTGTCATTTCGCCTACATCATATCGTGTATACTTATTTATCCTCTTTTTCTTAAATATGTATTACCTATAACTAAACCCCTTTCTATACAAAGTTCAATCAAAGGGCTCCCATTATCATTTACACCTGGCACCCCAAACTTACCTACACATCCCTCTCTAAAAGTTTCTCCTACTTTAGCATTCAGGTCCCCTACCACAATTACTCTCTCACTTGGTTCAAAGGCTCCTATACATTCACTTAACATCTCCCAAAATCTCTCTCTCTCCTCTGCATTCCTCTCTTCTCCAGGTGCATACACACTTATTATGACCCACTTCTCGCATCCAACCTTTACTTTAATCCACATAATTCTTGAATTACACATTCATATTCTCTTTTCTCCTTCCATAACTGATCATTTAACATTACTGCTACCCCTTCCTTTGCTCTAACTCTCTCAGATACTCCAGATTTAATCCCATTTATTTCCCCCCACTGAAACTCTCCTCCCCCCTTCAGCTTTGTTTCGCTTAGAGCCAGGACATCCAACTTCTTTTCATTCATAACATCAGCAATCATCTGTTTCTTGTCATCCGCACTACATCCACGCACATTTAAGCATCCCAGTTTATAAAGTTTTTCTTCTTCTCTTTTTTAGTAAATGTATACAGGAGAAGGGGTTACTAGCCCATTGCTCCCGGGATTTTAGTCGCCTCATACGACACGCATGGCTTACGGAGGAAAGATTCTTTTCACTTCCCCATGGACAATAGAAGAAATAAAAAAGAACAAGAGCTATTTAGAAAAAGGAGAAAAACCTAGATGTATGTATATATATATATGCATGTGCGTGTCTGTGAAGTGTGACCAAAGTGTAAGTAGGAGTAGCAAGATATCCCTGTTATCTAGCGTGTTTATGAGACAGAAAAAGAAACCAGCAATCCTACCATCATGCAAAACAGTTACAGGTTTTTGTTTCACAGTCATCTGGCAGGACGGTAGTACTTCCCTGGGTGGTTGCTGTCTACCAACCTACTACCTATGGAGGAAAAAAGGGAAATGTACCAGAGTACAGTGGTACCAACACTTCTGCATTAGTATGAAACATGTGCTTTAAACTTTGCAGCAAAGAGGAGGCTAGAGGCAGTGGAGATATCATCTTTAAGAGCATTGTGTATTGTGAATATTTTTTTTTTTAACACATTGGCCATTTCCCACCAAGACAGGGTGACCCAAAACGAAAGAAACACTTTCATCATCACTCACTCCATCACTGTCTTGCCAGAGGCATGCCAATACTACAGTTCAAAAACATATCTCCCACCCCACCTTCAATGCAGGCACTGTAGAAAGGGTGGGAATATGCTGCAGTTTTCAGATTGCAGAGAATTCAGATGGTAGACATTATAAGATGTTGTGGGGTAACCAGAGGTATGATTTATTTGAGACCAATGTGTAATGTGAATATTATAAAGAGAATTCAGACTGTGGATATTAGAAGATGGTGTGGGGTTACCAGAGATATGATTCAAAAGGCTAAGGATAGACTGTTGAGATGGTTTGGGCATTTAGAGAGAATGGAGCATAATAGAGTGGCCAAGAAAGTGTATATATGGGTTGGAAAAATAAAGAGGAGGAATAGGGCCATTCCAGGAAGGGAGAGGGAAGGGAAGGGTAAAGGAAGTTGTGAGTGCTAGGGACCTGAGCATTCAGTAAGCTTGTGTGAGCATGCTAAATCAGAGTGAATGGAGACAGTTTTTTATGGCTTGACATGTTGTTGGTGTATGAGCAAGGTAACATTTATGAAAGGGTTCTGGAAAACCAGTTAGCTGGGCTCAAGTCCTGAAGGTGAGAAATACAGTGCCTGAACTCTGAAGGAGGCGTGATGTTGCAGTTCTGTGGGTCATTTGAATTCCGAAGTCTGTGCACTTCTGGCAAGACAGCAAGTGAATGAGTGATGGTAAATGTTCCCTAGTGTCACTTATCTTGGTAGGAGATGGCTGATGTGGAAAAATAAAAAAGACAATTGCATCAGCTATTTAACAGATGTTTCAAAATAAAACTGAAGTAGGGATTTGCAGATTTTCCTATAAACAGTTAAACTAAAATTTATGTATCACTTCATGTATACATGGTCTCTACCTTCTTTTTGATCTCTAAATAATACCTCCCGATTCCTTAATTGCATTTCCTCTAGTTAAAAAAAAAAAATGGTGTAATGTATTACAGAAAAAGGGGTAAATATTGAAATGTCTTCAATACTGAAAGCAAGAGGGATTAGGTTAGTGTCCAGTCTCCATTTCTTTCCATTTTTAAATGCTGCAGTATTACGTCTCCAATAACTTTACAGTAAAATTAGTCTCAAATCCATTAGAAGCTGGTAAGAGGATAGGTGTTATCAGCGAAGTCATTAATACTATAGCAATTTTATAAGAATCAAAATACATGACTATGGAATGAAAACTATAAGATTTAAAGGAAACTACAGTCAGGTGTCCTTTTCAGGCATTTCCTCAGAGATAACCACTTGCCTAAACATCTCAAGAAGTGGAAACATCTTAGTGGTACAGCAGTATTCTGCAAAGAGACTGCCTTCCTTGGAAGATGCAAATACAGTTCAGGTGAGACAAGTTTATTTTACTAATGACAGGTGTGCACCCACACATTTTCCAAAAGTAGCATAGAAGAATATTTTAATGCAGCAATTAGTGTTCTTTTATACAGCTCAAGCTCAAAAAATGTTTTAATATCCAAAATAAAACAAAACCTAAGAAAGTGTAGTGAAATGAGAATCTCACCAATTACAAAAGTAAAAAAAAATTATGTTAGAAGTATTGGAAAAATGCAAACTGTTTTGGTCCTCAGTACTCCTTACACAATAAGAAAGTGAAATGATTAAAATTGGGTCCACTTAAAGAGTGAGTACAGCAAATCTGATTATGTTTAAGCAGTAAGTACATAAAAGCAACATTATCACTTACCCAAGTTCTTCATCAGCTTCAATATCCCGATTTGCAAAGAATGCAATTCTTGGGAAAGTTAAATCTTGATGGTCGATAAAAACTTTTACTGGTGTAAGATTGGCCTCACAGAGATGATTAATGAAACGAGCAATATTACCATACCCTCGAGCATCGATGCAGAATGTTTCACTATCCTGAAACATAAAATCTTATGTAATTTTCAATTGTAATTTAGTCTCTATGCAATATCTTCCAGTTATTTGTTGTATATGACAGCTGAGCATGTCTAAAGACAATGATTTTTTTTAACAGTGGAAGTGCTCAAGTCTGGGATACATTATTTATAGTACACTATCATCAAATACTAAAATATTTCATAACTAGGTTAATCACAGGAAGAGAAAAGATCAAACAAGGAAGCAGCAAACTAATAAAAGGGAAACACTTGGGAAGGGCATTCAGGTGATTACCATTATAAATTAAGAATGTCATTTAAGCAATTAAGGGAGGTACATACATTTTTTTTTTTTTTTTTTTTTTTTTTTATTATCACACCGGCCGATTCCCACCAAGGCAGGGTGGCCCGAAAAAGAAAAACTTTCACCATCATTCACTCCATCACTGTCTTGCCAGAAGGGTGCTTTACACTACAGTTTTTAAACTGCAACATTAACACCCATCCTTCAGAGTGCAGGCACTGTACTTCCCATCTCCAGGACTCAAGTCCGGCCTGCCGGTTTCCCTGAATCCCTTCATAAATGTTACTTTGCTCACACTCCAACAGCACGTCAAGTATTAAAAACCATTTGTCTCCAATTCACTCCTATCAAACACGCTCACGCATGCCTGCTGGAAGTCCAAGCCCCTCGCACACAAAACCTCCTTTACCCCCTCCCTCCAACCCTTCCTAGGCCGACCCCTACCCCGCCTTCCTTCCACTACAGACTGATACACTCTTGAAGTCATTCTGTTTCGCTCCATTCTCTCTACATGTCCGAACCACCTCAACAACCCTTCCTCAGCCCTCTGGACAACAGTTTTGGTAATCCCGCACCTCCTCCTAACTTCCAAACTACGAATTCTCTGCATTATATTCACACCACACATTGCCCTCAGACATGACATCTCCACTGCCTCCAGCCTTCTCCTCGCTGCAACATTCATCACCCACGCTTCCACCCATATAAGAGCGTTGGTAAAACTATACTCTCATACATTCCCCTCTTTGCCTCCAAGGACAAAGTTCTTTGTCTCCACAGACTCCTAAGTGCACCACTCACTCTTTTTCCTCATCAATTCTATGATTCACCTCATCTTTCATAGACCCATCCGCTGACACGTCCACTCCCAAATATCTGAATACGTTCACCTCCTCCATACTCTTCCCTCCAATCTGTATTCAATCTTTCATCACCTAATCTTTTTGTTATCCTCATAACCTTACTCTTTCCTGTATTCACCTTTAATTTTCTTCTTTTGCACACCCTACCAAATTCATCCACCAATCTCTGCAACTTCTCTTCAGAATCTCCCAAGAGCACAGTGTCATCAGCAAAGAGCAGCTGTGACAACTCCACTTTGTGTGTGATTCTTTATCTTTTAACTCCACGCCTCTTGCCAAGACCCTCGCATTTACTTCTCTTACAACCCCATCTATAAATATATTAAACAACCACGGTGACATCACACATCCTTGTCTAAGGCCTACTTTTACTGGGAAAAAATTTCCCTCTTTCCTACATACTCTAACTTGAGCCTCACTATCCTCGTAAAACTCTTCACTGCTTTCAGTAACCTACCTCCTACACCATACACTTGCAACATCTGCCACATTGCCCCCCTATCCACCCTGTCATACGCCTTTTCCAAATCCATAAATGCCACAAAGACCTCTTTAGCCTTATCTAAATACTGTTCACTTATATGTTTCACTGTAAACACCTGGTCCACACACCCCCTACCTTTCCTAAAGCCTCCTTGTTCATCTGCTATCCTATTCTCCGTCTTACTCTTAATTCTTTCAATTATAACTCTACCATACACTTTACCAGGTACACTCAACAGACTTATCCCCTATAATTTTTGCACTCTCTTTTATCCCCTTTGCCTTTATTACAAAGGAACTATGCATGCTCTCTGCCAATCCCTAGGTCCTTACCCTCTTCCATACATTTATTAATAATTGCACCAACCACTCCAAAACTATATCCCCACCTGCTTTTAACATTTCTATCTTTATCCCATTTAATCCCGGCTGCCTTACCCCCTTTCATTTTACCCCACTGCCTCACGAACTTCCCCCACACTCACAACTGGCTCTTCCTCACTCCTACAAGATGTTATTCCTCTTGCCCTATACACGAAATTACAGCTTCCCTATCTTCATCAACATTTAACAATTCCTCAAATATTCCTTCCATCTTCCCAATACCCCTAACTCTCATTTAATAACGCTCCTCTCCTATTTTTAACTGAAATCCATTTGTTCTCTAGCTTTCTTAACTTGTTAATCTCACTCCAAAACTTTTTCTTATTTTCAACAAAATTTGTTGATAACATCTCACCCACTCTCTCATTTGCTCTCTTTTTACATTGCTTCACCACTCTCTTAACTTCTCTCTTTTTCTCCATATACTCTTCCCTCCTTGCATCACTTCTACTTTGTAAAAACTTCTCATATGCTAACTTTTTCTCCCTTACTACTCTCTTTACATCATCATTCCACCAATCGCTCCTCTTCCCTCCTGCACCCACTTTCCTGTAACCACAAACTTCTGCTGAACACTCTAACACTACATTTTTAAACCTACCCCATACCTCTTCGACCCCATTGCCTATGCTCTCATTAGCCCATCTATCCTCCTATCTTACCCTAACTGCCTCCTCTTTTAGTTTATAAACCTTCACCTCTCTCTTCCCTGATGCTTCTATTCTCCTTGTATCCCATCTACCTTTTACTCTCAGTGTAGCTACAATAGAAAGTGATCTGATATATCTGTGGCCCTCTATAAACATGTACATCCTGAAGTCTACTCAACAGTCTTTTATCTACCAATACATAATCCAACAAACTACTGTCATTTCTCCCTACATCATATCGTGTATACTTATTTATCCTCTTTTTCTTAAAATATGTATTACCTATAACTAAACCCTTTCTATACAAAGTTCAATCAAAGGGCTCCCATTATCATTTACACCTGGCACCCAAACTTACCTACCACACCCTCTCTAAAAGTTTACTCCTACTTTAGCATTCAAGCCCCCTACCAAAATTACTCTTTCCCTTGGTTCAAAGGCTCCTATACATTAAATTTTAAAAATCTAAAAAAAATCTCTCCTCCCCTCTGCATTCCTCTCTTTTTTCCAGGTGCTTTTAAAAAGCTTATTATGACCCATTTTTCGACCAAAACCTTTATTTTAAAATTCCACTTTAATTCTTGAATTTACACATTCATATTCCTTTTTCCTTCCCCATAATGATCATTTAACTTTAAATGTTTCCCCCTTTTTCCTTTGCTCTAACTCTCTCAGATATCCGTTTTAAATTTCCCAAATTTTTTCCCCCCCACTGAAAAACTCTCCAAACCCCCTTCAGCTTTGTTTCGCTTGGGGGCCAGGACACCCAATTTCTTTTCATTTTAAAAACCTTCAGCAATCATTTTTTCTTGTCTTCCGCACACAATCCACGCCCCTTTTAAGAACCCTTTTTAAAAAGTTTTTCTTCTTCTTTTTTAAAATTTGTATACGGGGAGAAGGGGTTATTTGGCCCTTGCCCCCGGGCCCTTTTTTTGTCCCCTCATAGGGAACCGAAGGGTTTTCGGAGGGAAGATTTTTTTTTCCATTTCCCCCTGTATTACTACTTGAAATTTATTTAAAACCCAAGGTTCTAAATTTTGTTAAACCCAATCCTCCACAAAATGAAGTTTTTCATTTTTCAAAACTGAAAATTTTTCGGGGAATTTTTAACAGTATTTACGGTTGTGGGGCATAAAAGTTTAAAGTAAGCTTACACAATCTACCTTTTTATCAAGTTTCCAAATAAAATAAAAAGTCATTTTTTTTGGTCAGCCTCCAAGTCAGTTTTGATCTCTCCAAATATTCACAAAACATAAAAAAACCCAAAAAACATCAAAGTAAGTTACACCAAAAAAGTTTATTTATTTTCCCAGTAAAATTTCTTTGATTTTTTTTTCCCAAATCACAATGCTCCCATGTAAAAAGGAATTATTGGGAAAACAAAATGTCAAGTTAAAATATTAAAATTTTTATAAAATTTTTCCATGATTTTAAATTTGAAAAAAGGGCAAATGGGGCAAAACCCTTAAATTAATTGTTTACTAAGATATTTGGGGATTTAAGTCTGTGTAGGTTTGTTGGGGAAAGTTTTTTAAAGGGGAAAATTTCTAAACGGGGGAAAACCCTCCTTAAAAAATCTTGTATGTACCAGTATCCAACGGGGAGTGGGGTTTAAAGGGTTGTGAAAAAGAAAAATATGGAAGAAAAGGGGAGCAACATACTCCCTGACCCCCGCCAATGTCAGTCATAATTTGTTTTAAAAAAAACCAAGAAACCCAGTGGTAAAAGGGGTTTTTAATCCAGCATGTAAAGGGGGCCCTGAAAAGAAAGAATTGTGTGAAAATGATGCATGAAAAAATTACAAGTGGGCCCCTGGAGACTCTTAGCAAAACGGGAATTTTTTTTATTTATGGGTAGAAATTTTTTGGTTTGTCGCTGCTAAACCGGGGCCGTCGCCGGGGTTTAGGGGGATAAGGCCGGTGCTTTAAAAGAAGATGACCCAAAATTCGTCTTGGGTTCTGAAGATAAAAAAAAAAACTTTTTTCCATGGAGGCAAAGAAGGAAAACAGTGGGGGCCCCCGCTTTCCGTTTTTCCCCCTTACAGCTTTCCGAAAAATTTCGCGATTTAAAATTCTGCCCAAAAATTGGTTTTTATACGGAAAGGGGGTCTTTCAAATATGGTGCCCCCCCACCTGGTTTTTTTTCACATTTCCTTGAACACATTATTTGTCGGGAAAAACTTTTCAAAATTTCAAGCGTTTTAAAGATTGGTTTTTTATATGTATACTTGAAAATTTTATGTTAAGTGTACCTGTCCCAAAATTATCCCTTACCCACTGTGGGTTTTTAGGAACAATTAAAATCACTAAGGTCTCTCTATTTATGAGGGAAACAAAAATTACTCGTAATAATAACCCTTCGTGGGCACATTAAATGTCTTATTTTACGTAATAAGCATTTTCTTTAATCCATCTATGCCCTTTTTCCCTAAAAATTTAAATATAAAAAAAAACCGGTTACATAGAAATTATAAACATTATCATACCCCCACAGAAAAAATTTTTTTTACATAAAAATGAGATTTGTTTACAAAGCGGCTCTGAAGGGGGTGGGCAGAAAAATTTGTTTTTTTTTAGTCAAACACGGGGGGGGGGGGGGGATAACGTAGATAAATATTCCTTTCATATGCTTCACCTATTTATTGTAATTCATTTAACCCTTTTGGGTTTATGTTCTTTTTTATTATGATTATAATTATTAACAATACTTGCAAAAATAATATGTAACAATAAAATTTGTAATAATTAAAAATAATTTTTTCCGAGCATCATTTTGGTCTTTTTTATTTACTGTTTCCCCGTGGGGGGACAAATTGTACACAATTTAAAGTGTTTTTATGAAGTTTATGAAAAATAAACCCGATGCACTGTCTGTTTGTTTTTTATAGTTGGTGGGGTGGCCAGGAATGGCTTCCCTACACTTTCCCAAACCTACCACACCACTTTCTACAAAATAAAAACTTTTTTTACCTTTCACCCCCAAAATTAAGATTTCAAATACTTTGAAAGGGAAATAAGGGGTGTACTGTGGGTTTTATTTTATTTTTAATGCCCCAAATTCTATTGCCCCAACTTTAAAAATGGTTTGGAAAAATTTCTATCTGGCATTTATATGCATTTTTTTGTGGCAAAAAAAGGCGTTCTGCTTTCCGGCCCATGTCTGTTTTCTGGCAGCAGCCCGGACCTTAACCCGCCGTTTTAAGTGAGGCCCTACTGTATATGAGGGGTATAGTGGTACCAAAAAATCTTATAGAGTGTGAAAGGGATGGACTGTGAATGTTTTCAGCGAGGGGGGAGGCTGGAGGCAGTGGAAAATGTCTGTCTGAGGGGGCCCTGTGGGGGATTAAAAACTATGCAGATAATTTTGTTTGTTTGGGTTAGGAGGTGCTGAGGAGGGGGTTTTTGAGGTGGGTTTTCTATTTTGAGGGATGAAGCAAAAAAGAATGACTTTGGAAAAGGGATATAAAATTTTGGAGGTGGAAGGAAGGTGGGGATGGGGGGGCATCCCAGGAAAGGATGGGGCTGGGGGGGAGGTAAGGAGGTTTTTTTGGGGAAAAGGGGGTCGGAAATTTCGCAGGTATGTGTGAGTATGTTTGTTTGGGTGGGACGAATGGTTTTTTGGGGCTTGACTAGGTGTTGGGGGTGGAAAAAAGGTTAAAATTTTGTGAAGGGATTCATGAAAAATTGGGTTCCAGACTTGAGGCCTGGAGGTAGGAAGTACAGTGTCAGCACTCGAAAGGGGGGGTTTGGGATATTTGTGTTTAGGACATCTAAAAATGTCGTTTTCTGGTGCCTTTGGTAAAGGGCCCGTGAAAAGAGTGGGGTGATGGTTTTAAAGGGGTTTCTTTTTTGGGTCACCCTGCCTCCGTGGGAAAATGGCCCGTTTTGTTAAAAAAATATCTAATGAAAACCCGTTTTTCCCGTTAGGGGACCCGAGTCCTGGAGGTGGGGAAAGGGGAGTTTCCCCCAAAACTCAGAAAAAGGGTAAGGGTGTGTTATGTCACAATTTCTTGGGAAAATTTTGGGAGTTGAATTTTAATGAATGTTGGCCCAAAAGTGTTTTCTTCTTTGGGGTCACCCCTTTCCCTTTGGGGATGGTAGTTGTTAAAAAAAAAGAAAAAAAAAAAAAAAAATCTAAGGGAAGGGGTTTTCATCACATCATTTACCAATAGAAGAATTGGTTTAAAGGGATCTACCCCTTTACCCCAAAATTTTGCAAATTTATTTCCATTTTAAAACATACATATTGCTATTTACTGCTGATTTCAATTACCAATGCTTTTATTTGCAATACAAAATGAAGGATCATGTGGATCATGAAGGATTATGTGGAGTAAAATAAAGATTGGATGTGAAAAGTGGGTTATAATAAGCGTGTATGCACCTGGAGAAGAGAGAAGTGTAGAGGAGAGAGAGAGATTTTGGGAAATTGTTGAGTAATGCATGGGGAGTTTTGAATCAAGTGTGAGAGTAATGGTGGTTGGGGATTTCAATGCTAAAGTGGGTAAAAATGTTATGGAGGGAGTAGTAGGTAAATTTGGGGTGCCAGGGGTAAATGTAAATGGGAAGCCTTTAATTGAGCTATGTGTAGAAAGAGATTTGGTAATAAGTAATACATATTTTATGAAAAAGAGATAAATAAATATACAAGGTATGATGTAGCACGTAATGAAAGTAGTTTATTAGATTATGTATTGGTGGATAAAAGGTTGATGGGTAGGCTCCAGGATGTACATGTTTATAGAGGGGCAACTGATATATCGGATCATTATTTAGTTGTAGCTACAGTTAAGAGTAAGAGGTAGATGGGAAAAGAGGAAGGTGGCAACAACAAGTAAGAGGGAGGTGAAAGTGTATAAACTATGGGAGGAGGAAGTTCGGGTGAGATATAAGCGACTATTGGCAGAAAGGTGGGCTAGTGCAAAGATGAGTAGTGGGGGGGTTGAGGAGGGTTGGAATAGTTTTAAAAATGCAGTATTAGAATGTGGGGCAGAAGTTTGTGGTTATAGGAGGGTGGGGGCAGGAGGAAAGGGGAGTGATTGGTGGAATGATGAAGTAAAGGGTGTGATAAAAGAGAAAAAGGTAGCTTACGAGAGGTTTTTACAAAGCAGAAGTGTTATAAGAAGAGCAGAGTATATGGAGAGTAAAAGAAAGGTAAAGAGAGTGGTGAGAGAGTGCAAAAGGAGAGCAGATGTTAGAGTGGGAGAGGCACTGCCAAGAAATTTTAATGAAAATAAGAAAAAAATTTGGAGTGAGTTAAACAAGTTAAGAAAGCCTAGGGAAAGTATGGATTTGTCAGTTAAAAACAGAGTAGGGGAGTTAGTAGATGGGGAGAGGGAGGTATTAGGTAGATGGCGAGAATATTTTGAGGAACTTTTAAATGTTAAGGAAGAAAGACAGGCAGTAATTTCATGCACTGATCAGGGAGGTATACCTTCTTTTAGGAGTGAAGAAGAGCAGAATGTAAGTGTGGCGGAGGTACGTGAGGCATTACGTAGAATGAAAGGGGGTAAAGCAGCTGGAACTGATGGGATCATGACAGAAATGTTAAAAGCAGGGGGGGATATAGTGTTGGAGTGGTTGGTACTTTTGTTTAATAAATGTATGAAAGAGGGGAAGGTACCTAGGGAATGGCAGAGAGCATGTATAGTCCCTTTATATAAAGGGAAAGGGGACAAAAGAGACTGTAAAAATTATAGAGGAATAAGTTTACCGAGTATACCAGGAAAAGTGTATGGTAGGGTTATAATTGAAAGAATTAGAGGTAAGACAGAATGTAGGATTGCGGATGAGCAAGGAGGTTTCAGAGTGGGTAGGGGATGTGTAGATCAAGTGTTTACATTGAAGCATATATGTGAACAGTATTTAGATAAAGGTAGGGAAGTTTTTATTGCATTTATGGATTTAGAAAAGGCATATGATAGAGTGGATAGAGGAGCAATGTGGCAGATGTTGCAAGTATATGGAATAGGTGGTAAGTTATTAAATGCTGTAAAGAGTTTTTATGAGGATAGTGAGGCTCAGGTTAGGGTGTGTAAAAGAGATGGAGACTACTTCCCGGTAAAAGTAGGTCTTAGACAGGGATGTGTAATGTCACCATGGTTGTTTAATATATTTATAGATGGGGTTGTAAAGGAAGTAAATGCTAGTGTGTTCGGGAGAGGGATGGGATTAAATTTTAGGGAATCAAATTCAAAATGGGAATTGACACAGTTACTTTTTGCTGATGATACTGTGCTTATGGGAGATTCTAAAGAAAAATTGCAAAGGTTAGTGGATGAGTTTGGGAATGTGTGTAAAGGTAGAAAGTTGAAAGTGAACATAGAAAAGAGTAAGGTGGTGAGGGTATCAAATGATTTAGAATAAAGAAAAATTGGATATCAAATTGGGGAGGAGTATGAAGAAGTGAATGTTTTCAGATACTTGGGAGTTGACGTGTCGGCGGATGGATTTATGAAGGATGAGGTTAATCATAGAATTGATGAGGGAAAAAAGGTGAGTGGTGCGTTGAGGTATATGTGGAGTCAAAAAACGTTATCTATGGAGGCAAAGAAGGGAATGTATAAAAGTATAGTAGTACCAACACTCTTATATGGGTGTGAAACTTGGGTGGTAAATGCAACAGCGAGGAGACGGTTGGAGGCAGTGGAGATGTCCTGTTTAAAGGCAATGTGTGGTGTAAATATTATGCAGAAAATTCGGAGTGTGGAAATTAGGAAAAGGTGTGGAGTTAATAAAAGTATTAGTCAGAGGGCAGAAGAGGGTTTGTTGAGGTGGTTTGGTCATTTAGAGAGAATGGATCAAAGTAGAATGACATGGAAAGCATATAAATCTATAGGGGAAGGAAGGCGAGGTAGGGGTCGTCCTCGAAAGGGTTGGAGAGAGGGGGCAAGATGCTTGGACTTCCAGCAAGCGTGCGTGAGTGTGTTAGATAGGAGTGAATGGAGACGAATGGTACTTGGGACCTGACGATCTGTTGGAGTGTGAGCAGGGTAATATTTAGTGAAGGGATTCAGGGAAACCGGTTATTTTCATATAGTCGGACTTGAGTCCTGGAAATGGGAAGTACAATGCCTGCACTTTAAAGGAGGGGTTTCGGATATTGGCAGTTTGGAGGGATATGTTGTGTATCTTTATATGTGTATGCTTCTAAACTGTTGTATTCTGAGCACCTCTGCAAAAACAGTGATAATGTGTGAGTGTGGTGAAAGTGTTGAATGATGATGAAAATATTTTCTTTCTGGGGATTTTCTTTCTTTTTTGGGTCACCCTGCCTCGGTGGGAGACGGCCGACTTGTTGAAAAAAAAAAAAAAAATGAAAAATTCTTCATTAAATATTACAGTACAATTATTTTTCATTGACTTTAAAAATGTTATTTCAGCTGAAAACTATCATAAAGGTCCTGCAAGAACTTTCTTTCCTGTTGCAGTGCACAATACGTAAAAAATAAATAAAAAAAAAAATAATCATAATTTGAATTACCCATTTCTTCAATTATACAATTGCTATCTTCACTTCCTTCGTTTCATATGAAGTAGATTTGATTGAACTCAATACAGTGTAGTCTCCCTTTGCATTTAAGCACATCCAACTCAAATGGACTGAGTTGCAGTCAAGAAATTGTTTTTGTTAGAATACGTCATCAACATGCATATTTTGTCAGCTTTATCATTGTCTCACCTTTTGAATAGTCTTCAAAGCACGCACACCCCAGCCTTTCTCTGCTGTTTTGAACAACTGCATATGAGCAGATATACCATGCTGCACCACACGATTGTTACATGACAGTTTGTTGCAGCGGCAGGCTCGATTGCATTCAAAAATCATTGGAGGATCTGTACATGTAAAAAAGGGCAATGAAATATAATTTGGAAACAAATTTTCAATATACAGTATAATTAATACAAGTTATCAATAAGCCATTATTGGTAAAGGTAAAAATATTCTCTTCAAAGAAAATGCCAGGATTAAGTGTCAGGCATTATTAGCTCAATTTCACTAACAATTAATTTAAAAATCAGTCAAGGAAAATGTAAATGCAGAGACTTTAAATAGACATAACAGAAATACAAATACAAAATACAGTAAATACCTGCATAATTGAACTCTGGTAAGAGGCGACCATCAGGATCATACCAGCACTGGAAGTTGAGTTGACCACAACCACAATGATCAGCATTACATACATCCTCACACTCACACCACTGTTAGCAGAGGTCAGAAATTAATCTATATTTTAATAACTAATATGTAATACAAAATAAATGGATGCAATGTGACACAAAAGACTTAAATATTTTAAATTAATTTACATATCCTAGCAAAATTGCAATAAAACTAGTCAATGCCAAGGATGAACCCACTTGAGATAATATAATAGAAGATGAGCAATGCATATCTATTTCGGTTTCACAAGAGACCCTATCCAACAGACTGCTGATGAGGGTCTCAGTGATAAGCCAAAATATACAATATTGTACTTATTTTTAATACAATGGTTCTCTCACCCTCAGGTTGAGTGATCCCCCCAAAAAGGGGAAATGCACATCTTATCTTCTGTATTTTGCCAACATAAAGGTTCATTTCTTATATTACATAATCATGAAATGCTGTACATTTTACTGAAAATTCATAACAGGAAAAAATATATAATACTGTACCTTTAGTGATGTAATTGTACGATCTATGATAACATTGGATGCCTCACAGTTCTCAGCAATGTACAAGTAATCTTTGGGTAGATTCTCATCATCTATTCCATTGACACAGGGAATTGGAACTTCTTCCTTTCCTGCAGCTATATCACTGTTTGCAAATGAAATTATACATTATCATGCATGTGATAAGTCATTATTTTTATACTGATCCTTGCATCATCATCTTTTTTCTTGCTATACATTTCTTGAGGAAATCCTTATTAATAACAGTTACCTAAATTAAAATGAAATTTTTCCTAACCCAAGAACCAGCAAAAAACTGTAATCAAAGACATTAAATGGTAACTCTACAGACTCACCTGCTTAAGATCTTTTCAGTACGTATGTTGTTTTGATGCATCATTTCAATCAGATTGTTATTTAAGCTAAGTTGTAAGTACACATCCGAGTCAGGCAAGGCACAGTCTATAGGAGTCTGGCCTTTGGTGTTCAAGACATCGAGTCGGGCACCTCGTGCCAGAAGGAGTACCACTGCGTCTATATGGTTTTGCCTAGCGGCAATGTGCCTGTAGATTTCAAACACACACACTATAGACAATTTGCAATTGCTTCACATTGCAAATTAGCTTATACAGTACTTTAATGTACAAATAAGAAATAGTCTTAAGAGATAAACAATAAAATGAAACCACAGAAACAACAAACTTATCTGCTTTAAATGAAAATGGTGAAATGCTAAATGCAATGAAAGATATATTTGGGAGAAGTAGATATTCTAACTTCACACAATGCTGAATGTAAACAATGAAATCAGAGACAGAAATTTCATGCTTGATTTTCAGAAGAATGCTACCTATAAGAAAGAGTCAAGCTGAAAGTGAACATGAAGAAAGTGACTGATGGAAAAAGAAAACTGAATGTGAATAAATGGGCCACAAAAACAGATAACAAACAAGGACAAAGTTTAATTAAGAGAGATATTTTTATACACATCTTTGCTGAAAATCCATATCATATATCCAAGAAACCTGAAAATGGAAAAATATCAAGACATACTTGAGGCAAAGACCAAAATGCTGAGAGCAGATGGGAATAGTGTTGCAATAGTTGGTACAATTATATTATGTTTGAAAATTAAAATGGTATAAAATACCGACAGGTTGTTAGGTAAGACACACATGCAACAGTTAGGTATCTTTATTTCGAAACGTTTCGCCTACACAGTAGGCTTCTTCAGAGTACAGAAAAGTTGATAGAAGCAGAAGAGACTTGAAGACAATGTAATCAGTCCATCACCCTTAAAGTTTTGAGGTGGTCAGTCCCTCAGTCTGGAGAAGAGCATTGTTCCATAGTCTGAAACAATATGGAGTTGAAGTGACAGGATGGAGCCTTATATAGCGCCAGGAGGTGAGACGTAGGTCACTAGTAGAAGTAAGAACGCAGATGTTGGGTGGTCAGGTCCCTCTCAAATCCAGCCGTTCTCACTAGTAGAGGTTGTCGAAGTTGATTGCAGGTCTGTACCAAGATACCCTTGTGTTGCAGTGTCTGACAGATTGAACATTAAAATGGTATAAAATACCGACAGGTTGTTAGGTAAGACACATATGCAACAGTTAGGTATCTTTATTTCGAAACGTTTCGCCTACACAGTAGGCTTCTTCAGTCGAGTATAGAAAAGTTGATAGAAGCAGAAGAGACTTGAAGACAATGTAATCAGTCCATCACCCTTAAAGTTTTGAGGTGGTCAGTCCCTCAGTCTGGAGAAGAGCATTGTTCTATAGTCTGAAACAATATGGAGTTGAAGTGACAGGATGGAGCCTTATATAGCGCCAGGAGGTGAGACGTAGGTCACTAGTAGAAGTAAGAACGCAGATGTTGGGTGGTCTGGTCCCTCTCAACACAAGGGTATCTTGGTACAGACCTGCAATCAACTTCGACAACCTCTACTAGTGAGAATGGCTGGATTTGAGAGGGACCTGACCACCCAACATCTGCATTCTTACTTCTACTAGTGACCTACGTCTCACCTCCTGGCGCTATATAAGGCTCCATCCTGTCACTTCAATCCATATTGTTTCAGACTATGGAACAATGCTCTTCTCCAGACTGAGGGACTGACCACCACAAAACTTTAAGGGTGATGGACTGATTACATCGTCTTCAAGTCTCTTCTGCTTCTATCAACTTTTCTGTACTCGACTGAAGAAGCTTACTGTGTAGGCGAAACGTTTCAAAATAAAGATACCTAACTGTTGTATATTATGTTTGCATGAAAGAAGTGATGTACCTAAAGCACTAAAAAAGAGCACAAATGGTTCCTTTTCTATGAAGCCAAAAGAGGACAAGACAGAGTTTAACCCTTTCAGGGTCGACAGGCCCTCTCAGAGACTTGTTCTCAGGGTCCCCCAAATTTCAAAAAAAAAAAAAAAAAAAAAAAAAAAAAAAAAAAAAAAAAAAAAAAAAAAAATTCTTATGAAAAGATAGAGAATCTTTTCCCGATCATAATGACACCAAAAGTATGAAATTTGATGAAAAACTTACGGAATTATGCTCTCGCGAAGTTAGTGGTCTCGACGATGTTTACGCATTGGCAATTTTGCCCACTTTGAGTCCTATTTTCAGCCAATTCCAGTGTACTTGTCAACAAAAATCATAACTATTTCGCTAGAACTCCATTTTTTCTATCGAATGAGTACAAGAAACCACCCATTTACTGATTTCAACTATCCAATACAGTGGTCAGAATTTAGCAATTTTGCCAATTTCACACAAATTTCAAAAGATGCCAATTTCCGAATAGGGTCCAGAATAAACAAGAAAGACATTCCTGGCACTAAAATAACATTTCCTCTGTTCATTAGTCATGTCCCCATGTCCCTCTTACATTCTTTTGCTTTCCATTTTGAATTTTTATTCTCACAAAAAAAAATAGAAGATTTACTTTTATGCAGACTACTGCATTAGTGTAGAAATGGTATAAATAATATCAGCGCATTTGTGAAAGAATATTAGACTCACCAGTTGACGTGTATTGGACGCATAGCATGATTTGTTTACTTTTGAACTTTGGTAAAAATCAAACATTTCTGCTACTTTGAGCTCAATTTCAAGGTACTTTTCTTTGTAAAACCAGTCAAAATCATCTCAATTTCTGTAATAAGTCTTCCATTCTATAAAATGAGAACAGGAAAACTAGAATACATGTACAACAATAAATACCATACGAAAATACAGTGCAAAGTCCCTGTTTTAATCCAAAAACAAGGTCAAAGTTTTTTTTTCTCATTACACACTGTGTGCTGCAGGATTTTTGTTATACCACACACACTGACCACATAGACCCATTCTTTCATATGTAGGCCTACCAGCTTTCTCTCACTAGATTTGAGGGCGCTAGAATTTAGGCGTACTAGTACGTCAAAAACCCTGGTGCATAAGCCGTACTAGTACGGCCGAAACCCTTGAAAGGGTTAAGAACTACAAAGGATTAAGTTAATTTAAATAAACCCAGTAAAGTGTACATCAGATTTCTTTGCTAATGACTTAAAAGAGAAAAAAGTATAATCATGGAAGGACTGTGGATTCCACAAGTTTGTATGGAACATGTTTTTACATTGAAGAATATTAGTAAGAAATACTCAGATAAGGAAAAAGATCTGCCTGCTGCATTTTTGAGTTTGAAAATGTATGATAAACAGGCTGGTTGATCAGACCGATCCACCTGGTCACAGACCAGGCCGCAGGGGCGTTGATCCCCGAAACCCTCTCCAGGTAGGGTGGATTTGGCAGGTGATACAACAAGTTTTGCAAATGTATGAGATTGATGGTAAGTTGTAGGAAAGGGAAAGGTTTCCAGAGAGTGTGGAGCCTAGACAAGGATGAGTAGTGCCTACATGGAGTAAAAGAAGTGATTTTTTTTTCTATTTTAAAACATGTGCCATTTTCCACCAAGAAGTGTGTTGAAGAGGCCAGTCTGGGTTATTTGGAATTTTTTTTTAGAAAGTACTCATTCTATGCTGTTAAATTATTGTTAGGACATGACTATAAAAAGATACTACCTACAATCTTCTCTATTTTACATTAATAATATTTAATAGAAGATTTCTTATACTGCAGCCTGTTCTCATAACACCAGTGAAAAACATTCACATTTGAATGGTTCTTATTATTTTTTTATCAGCCATGGCTGTCCTCGACCATGATTGACTGAAAAAAAAAAAAACTGTCTCTCTCTCTCTCTCTCAGGAACAGGGCACATAACAGAGTAAAAACACATATATACATGTGGGCATGGACAAAAAAAAAAAAAAAAAAAAACTGCCTACAGGGAAGGAAAGAAAAAATTGGGGGTGTGCTAAACAATTAATAAATTTAGAGATGACTCACTCATAAATGTTCAAGAAATGGCAAAGTATTTTATCCACAGTGGTATATTACAGACCATTCTGGAGAAATACCCTGACTTTGTTAGCTGTAAATAAAGCATTACTGTGTGTGTGTGTGTGTGTGTGTGTGTGTGTGTGAGTGTGAGTGTGTGTGTGTGTGTGTGTGTGTGTGTGTGTGTGTGTGTGTGTGTGTGTGTGTGTGTGTGTGTGTGTGTGTGTGTGTGTGTGTGTGCGCATGCGTGCGCGCGTGCGTGCGTATGCATATATTTGTATGCTAGTGTGCATGTGTCTGTGCGTGCGCCCTCGTGTGTGTATGTGTGTGCATGCGCACTTGTGTGGGTGTGTAACCCACTTAATATTTGTATTTATAACTCATTACAATTGTGATCAAGTGTGGACGTATCAGTGACATCATACTTTGTGCAGGCTGTTCACTGAAGCTGTGACTTGAGTCAGACAGTCGCCTGCCGACAGGGCTACTGCGGCTTGACAATGTCATCCTCTCAACAGTTGGAGTCATAGCAGAGATTAGTCTTAGCATCCTTAGATTGGTTTTCTACACATCTACACTCTGACAGTCAGGAGGTGGAGTGAAATGAGTTTCAAAGGGGAGTTGTAGCAGGTACGACTCAGGCATGGCATCTACAAACGGAAAGCATAAGAGCTTTCTGTACACTGGACTGACTAATGTCAGTTGTCAATCGGTCACAACGTGGTGATATGTAACACAAGGGTGTTACCAGTGGTATGGGCTCAGACCATACTGTGGTCTACACACACATCTGAGCTCAGACATTATTTCCCTTAAAACATTTATAGTCTTAATGTAAGGTGAGAGGTGGGTAAACAAGGTAAAACGAATAAATGAGAGAGAGAACGAGTAAGTGAGAGAGAAGAGAGACATGGAGAATATAAACAAGCAGACAAACGCGTCTGTTTTGGTTGATACATGTTCAGCTACATGTAACATCTCATATTTATGTTAATTTATTCTACTGTGGAGTGTATTTATCATGTTTATATGTTATGTAGCGTGTTTATTATATAATTCTGAAAAAATATCAGATGGATTAATGAAAATGTTTATATTAACGTAATATACAACATTTAATCCACCTCAGTGATTATTGAGTATTTCTTTCTTTCAACACACCGGCTGTATCCCACCGAGGCGGGGTGGCCCAAAAGGAAAACAAAAGTTTCTCCTTTTACATTTAGTAATATATACAGGAAAAGAGGTTACTAGCCCCTTGCTCCCGGCATTTTAGTCGCCTCTTACAACACGCATGGCTTACGGAGGAAGAATTCTGTTCCACTTCCCCATGGAGATAAGGGGAAATAAACAAGAATAAGAACTAGAAAGAAAATAGAAGAAAACCCAGAGGGGTGTGTATATATATGCTTGTACATGTATGTGTAGTATGACCTAAGTGTAAGTAGAAGTAGCAAGACTGTAGCTTTAAGAAGAGACTGGACAAATATATGAGTGGGAGGGGCTGGGTTTGATTGGTGTCAAGGGGTACGGGAGTTATTTCTTGAGTAGCTTTAGGTAGATGTCGTTTTGATAAGGACCTGCCTCGTATGGGCCAGTAGGCCTTCTGCAGTGTTCCTACATTCTTATGTTCTTGTTCTTATGTTCATGAGACAGAAAAAAGGACACCAGCAATCCTACCATCATGTAAAACAATTACAGGCTTTCGTTTTACACTCACTTGGCAGGACGGTAGTACCTCCCTGGGCGGTTGCTGTCTACCAACCTACTACCTAGGTATTGAGTATTATTATTATTATTATTATTATTATGGCATCCTCAAGACTTATTATAATAAATACAAACTCCATAGGTTTAATACTTACAAAGGTGTATCTCCATGAGCATTCATGGAACGAAGTGAACAACCTCGATCTAAAACCATTGAACAGATGTGGGTGGAGCCAGAAAAGGCAGCCCAATGTAGAGCCGTGTTCTGTTCTACATCACAAAGTTGTGGGTTTCCTCCACGATCAAGCAAAAACCTGAAAAATGAAACACCAGTGTAATTAGAGCATGTAAAGGAATTTTTTTTTCCAACACGATGGCCATCTCCCACAGAGGCAGGGTGACCCCCCCCCCAAAAAAAAAAAACACTTTCACCATCATTCAAACATAATCACTGTCTTTGCAGAGCTGTCCAGATACGACAGTTTAGATGTCACTCCAAACAGCCAATATCCTAGACCCCTACTTTAAAGTGCAGGCATTGTACTTCCCACCTCCAGGACTCAAATCCAGCTATCCAGTTTCCTTTAATCCCTTCACTAAATACTATTACCCTGCTCACACCCCAACAGCTCGTCAGGTCCCAAAAAACCATTCGTCTTCATTCACTCCTGTCTAACACTCACACATGCTTGCTTGCATGTCCAAGCCCCTTACACACAAAACTTCATTTACCTCCTCTCTCCGTCCTTTCCTAGGACGACCCCTACCCCTCCTCCCCTCCACTACAGATTTATACACACTGCATGTCAATTTATTTTGCTCCATCCTTTCTAAATGACCAAACCACCTCAACAACCCCTCTTCAGCCCTCTGAATAATACTTTTAGTAACTCCACATGTCCTCCTAATTTCCACACTACGTATTCTCTGCATATTTACACTACACATTGCACGTAGACATGACATCTCCTCTGCCTCCAACCTCCTCCTTGCTGCAGCATTACAACCCATGCTTCACACTCATATAAGTGTGTTGGTATCACTATACATGTACTCTTGTACATTCCCTTCTCTGCCTCCATGAATAACATTTTGTCTTCACAGATACCTCAATGCACCAAATAGCTTATATGGGAACCCAATATGATGTGCATTTTCACTTCAGCATTACACCACTTTGGTAAAACTTACTTGACAACACTGATAAATCTATTTTCTGAGGCCCACACAAGTGGGGTCCAGCCGCCCTCATCCTGCATATTGACAGCATGTCTTGTTAATCTTCCAGAGTCCAAAATATGTTGACAAGCTATCAAGTTTCCACATTTTGCTGCCAGATGAAGGCATGTCATCCCATCTTGAGTCTGATAAAATACACATTATTTTTAATACAGAACTGTGTGTTCAAGTTTATTCATCTCTTCACTGTGCACTTTTCTACTACAATGCTAACAGGTTAATATAAGTTTAAAACAATTAAGACATTTTCTTTTTTTGTGAAATATAATTAATCCTTAAACAGTCCAAACAGATCGACGTTCAAATTCGTAATGCTCCAACAGTAGATCTACTTTTTTTTACATATTTTCAAATATAACAAAAAAAAGTAGATGAAAGTTTTTTACACGTTTTCAAATGTAAAACAAAAAAGAAGATCTACATTTTTTTACATACTTTCAGATGTTGAAAAAACGTATATATACGTTTGGACCATTTAAGGGTTAAGAACCTTTTAGAAAAATATCTGAAAAACATCCTACGTTTTTTAACATACTGGACGTCTCTCACTAAGGCAGCATGACCCGAAAAAGAAGAATGAATGTTTTACGTAGGTAACAAGATACTTTGAAAGAAAACAAGAAAGTTCGAGAAAGATGCCAAGTCTAAAACATACTTTTTTTAAACCAGAATGCTTGGATATGAGCAATGAATGTTTGAAGAACTCAGGATGAGATTATTAGGTGCTAATAATCTGTAATGTCTGTTAACTGAAAAACACACTCAAAGGCAAAAAACAAAATATAATAACTAAGGAAAGAGTGTTGTGTTTAGAATATCTATGTGGAATGAGTACCAGAGGAGAGTTAATGAAGAGCTTATAATAGAAGGTATGCTCTTTAAGAACTGGTAAAATGTACCAAGATCTATTCAAATCATATACTACGGTATTTATTATACTAATGAGGATGCATTAAACTCATAGAGATCAAATAGTACAAACAAAAATGGGAGGCATTTAGATTTGAGGCAAGAGACTAACACAAAAGGATTCTTTCAGGTACTACAGAAGTAAGATCAGGGACAAGATAGGCCCACTCAAAAGTTACTCGAGTCAGCTCACGGATAGTGATAAGGAAATGTGTAGAATTTTTAACACACATTTCCTCTCAGTTTTTACACAGGAAGATACTCGCGATATTCCAGAAATAATAAATTATGTAGAACAGGATGTTAATAAACTATGCACGATTAGGGTCACAAGTGACATGGTCCTTAGGTAAATTGATAAATTAAAACCTAACAAATCCCCAGGCCCTGATGAACTGTATGCAAGGGTTCTAAAGGAATGTAAAGAGGAGCTTAGCATACCTCTGGCTAAGCTTTTCAATATATCACTACAGACTGGCATGGTGCCAGATAAGTGGAAAATAGCAAATGTGATACCTATTTTCAAAGCAGGTGACGGGTCCTTAGCTTCGAACTATAGACCAATAAGCCTAACCTCCATAGTGGGAAAATTTATGGAATCAATAATTGCCGAGGCAGTTCATAGCCACCTTGAAAAGCACAAATTAATCAACGAATCTCAGCATGGTTTTACAAAGGGGCGTTCCTGCCTTACGAATTTATTAACTTTTTTCACTAAGTTTTGGAGTGAGATTAACAAGTTAAGAAAGCCTAGAGAACAAATGGATTTGTCAGTTAAAAATAGGAGAGGAGAGTTATTAAATGGAGAGTTAGAGGTATTGGGAAGATGGAGGGAATATTTTGAGGAATTGTTAAATGTTGATGAAGATAGGGAAGCTGTGATTTCGTGTATAGGGCAAGGAGGAATAACATCTTGTAGGAGTGAGGAAGAGCCAGTTGTGAGTGTGGGGGAAGTTCGTGAGGCAGTAGGTAAAATGAAAGGGGGTAAGGCAGCTGGATTGATGGGATAAAGATAGAAATGTTAAAAGCAGGTGGGGATATAGTTTTGGAGTGGTTGGTGCAATTATTTAATAAATGTATGGAAGAGGGTAAGGTACCTAGGGATTGGCAGAGAGCATGCATAGTTCCTTTGTATAAAGGCAAAGGGGATAAAAGAGAGTGCAAAAATTATAGGGGGGATAAGTCTGCTGAGTATACATGGTAAAGTGTATGGTAGAGTTATTATTGAAAGAATTAAGAGTAAGACGGGAGAATAGGATAGCAGATGAACAAGGAGGCTTTAGGAAAGGTAGGGGGTGTGTGGACCAGGTGTTTACAGTGAAACATATAAGTGAACAGTATTTAGATAAGGCTAAAGAGGTCTTTGTGGCATTTATGGATTTGGAAAAGGCGTATGACAGGGTGGATAGGGGGGCAATGTGGCAGATGTTGCAAGTGTATGGTGTAGGAGGTAGGTTACTGAAAGCAGTGAAGAGTTTTTTAAAGAGGATAGTGAGGCTCAAGTTAGAGTATGTAGGAAAGAGGGAAATTATTTCCCAGTAAAAGTAGGCCTTAGACAAGGATGTGTGATGTCACCGTGGTTGTTTAATATATTTATAGATGGGGTTGTAAGAGAAGTAAATGCGAGGGTCGTGACAAGAGGCATGGAGTTAAAAAATAAAGAATCACACACAAAGTGGGAGTTGTCACAGCTGCTCTTTGCTGATGACACTGTGCTCTTGGGAGATTCTGAAGAGAAGTTGCAGAGATTGGTGGATGAATTTGGTAGGGTGTGCAAAAGAAGAAAATTAAAGGTGAATACAGGAAAGAGTAAGGTTATGAGGATAACAAAAAGATTAGGTGATGAAAGATTGAATATCAGATTGGAGGGAGAGAGTATGGAGGAGGTGAATGTATTCAGATATTTGGGAGTGGACGTGTCAGCGGATGGGTCTATGAAAGATGAGGTGAATCATAGAATTGATGAGGGAAAAAAGAGTGAGTGGTGCACTTAGGAGTCTGTGGAGACAAAGAACTTTGTCCTTGGAGGCAAAGAGGGGAATGTATGAGAGTATAGTTTTACCAACGCTCTTATATGGGTGTGAAGCATGGGTGATGAATGTTGCAGCGAGGAGAAGGCTGGAGGCAGTGGAGATGTCATGTCTGAGAGCAATGTGTGGTGTGAATATAATGCAGAGAATTCGTAGTTTTGGAAGTTAGGAGGAGGTGCGGGATTACCAAAACTGTTGTCCAGAGGGCTGAGGAAGGGTTGTTGAGTGGTTCGGACATGTAGAGAGAATGGAGCGAAACAGAATGACTTCAAGAGTGTATCAGTCTGTAGCGGAAGGAAGGCGGGGTAGGGGTCGGCCTAGGAAAGGTTGGAGAGAGGGGTAAAGGAGGTTTTGTGTGCGAGGGGCTTGGACTTCCAGCAGGTATGCATGAGCGTGTTTGATAGGAGTGAATGGAGACAAATGGTTTTTAATACTTGACGTGCTGTTGGAGTGTGAGCAAAGTAACATTTATGAAGGGGTTCAGGGAAACCGGCAGGCCGGACTTGAGTCCTGGAGATGGGAAGTACAGTGCCTGCACTCTGAAGGAGGGGTGTTAATGTTGCAGTTTAAAAACTGTAGTGTAAAGCACCCTTCTGGCAAGACAGTGATGGAGTGAATGATGGTGAAAGTTTTTCTTTTTCGGGCCACCCTGCCTTGGTGGGAATCGGCCAGTGTGATAATAATAATAATTTGAGGAGGTAGATCATGGTAATGAATATGATATTGTGTATATGGACTTCAGTAAGGCTTTTGACAGGGTCCCACATCAGAGACTATTGAGGAAACTTAAAGCACATGGAATAGGAGGAGAAATTTTTTCCTGGATAGAGGCATGGTTGACAAATAGGCAGCAGAGGGTTTGCATAAATGGGGAGAAATGAGAGTGGGGAAGCGTCAAGAGCGGTGTTCCACAGGGGTCAGTGTTGGGCCCCCTGTTGTTCACAATCTACATAAACGACATTGATGAGGGCATAAAGAGCGACATAAGCAAGTTTGCCGATGACACCAAAATAGGCCGTCGAATTCGTTCTGATGAGGACATTAGAGCATTCCAGGAAAATTTGAATAGACTGATGCAGTGGTCAGAGAAGTGGCAGATGCAGTTTAATATAGACAAATGCAAAGTTCTAAATGTTGGACAGGAAAACAACCATGCCACATACAAACTAAATAATGTAGATCTTAATATTACGGATTGCGAAAAAGATTTAGGAGTTCTGGTTAGCAGTAATCTGAAACAAAGACAACAGTGCATAAGTGTTCGCAATAAAGCTAACAGAATCCTTGGCTTCATATCAAGAAGCATAAATAATAGGAGTCCTCAGGTTGTTCTTCATCTCTATATATCCTTGGTTAGACCTCATTTAGATTATGCTGCACAGTTTTGCTCACTATATTACAGAATGGATGTAAATGCTCTGGAAAACATACAAAGGAGGATGACAAAGTTGATCCCATGTATCAGAAATCTTCCCTATGAGGATAGACTGAGGGCCCTGAATCTGCACTCTCTAGAAAGGCGTAGAATTAGGGGGGATATGATTGAGGTGTATAAATGGAAGACAGGAATAAATAAAGGGGATGTAAATAACATGCTGAAAATATCTATCCTAGACAGGACTCGTAGCAATGGTTTTAAGTTGGAAAAATTCAGATTCAGGAAGGATATAGGAAAGCACTGGTTTGGTAATAGAGTTGTGGATGAGTGGAACAAACTCCAAAGTACAGTTATAGAGGCTAAAACGTTGTGTAGTTTTAAAAATAGGTTAGATAAATACATGAATGGGTGTGGGTGGGTGTGAGTTGGACCCGATTAGCTTGTGCTACTAGGCCAGTTGCCGTGCTCCTTCCTTAAGTGAATGTGACCTGACCTGACTAGGTTGGGGCACTGGCTGAGGCGGTAGGAGACTTGGACCTGCCTCGTATGGGCCAGTATGCCTGCTGCAGTGTTCCTTCTTTCTTATGTTCTTAAAAAGGAGGGGATGTCCAATTCTTTAGATCAAGAGTCCCTTACTAGCATTAAGGAACCTTCTTTGATAAAAAGACATATACAGTGGAACCTTGACTTACGAGTGTCCCAACATACAAGTTTTTTGAGATACAAGCCATTGATTGGTCGATTTTTTGCTTTGAGTTACGAGCCAGCTCCCCCCCCCCCACTTACCCCTCAACCCAAAACCTGGACA